GCAAAATGAACATGCAGGGCTCCTTGTTCAGGAAGCAGAGACACAAGGCCATTAAAGGTACTAAAAGCATTTTGCTTTTCTTCGGGGGTCTCTCAACTTCTTACGGTGCCTTTTATTTATTATTTATGTGAGTCCACACTAAGAAGAATTAAAATGTTAAATTGTGAGCATGAACTTTACCATTCATTTCGATATTGTGCAACGCTGGTTTGAAATGCAAATGTAAGAGCTTCTCACTCATATGCAGGATCATGGAAGCTGCACAGCTGGTAGTGCACGGCTTGTGCAGGCATCTGGGCTTCTTTCTTGTCAGAACAGCAGGGGCGCTGCACGGAATTGTCAGCTGTGTCTATTTCACCCCTTGATCCATGCACATCTGTCCACATGACCTTCGGCCTGCTATTGGCTAAGGAAGGATGGAAAGGAAAAACATTAGGGACTTCCTTCTCTTTCCTTTCCCTCTCTGCCATCATTTTTGGTGTAAATAATTAGCTGATACTGGGAAACAGTGGGAGAAAGAAAGGAATGAGAAGGTCCTGGTTATTCATGTTTCTTAGACCAACATTGCCTTTCTGTGCTTGAAGTAAATCCTGGTTCAACTGGAAAGCATGGCCTCTGAGAATTGTCAGCACCTCTACCTCCTCAGCTGTTAGATGAACATGCTTGTCTTGCACTTGGTGGAGTCTCAGTGAATTCCTGGGGTTGCGGGCATTCTGTTCTCATGGGATATCACAGACACTACATGTGAATAGGGTGGCAAGAAACAGCCAACGTTGTATCTCTGATCCACTGTCCCATGGACTTCGCTTTCCAAATACAGTTCAAAGAATTTCAAGAAGTGACAGCAGAGCATTGAACCATGTCTGTGGTTCCGTTCTGAGCACAGAGCCCTGTGTGACAACATAGGCCACATGCCCTGGCCCTGCTAGGGTTATTAACATCAGTCGAGCTTTGTGTAAAACCAGATGGGGAGCCTGCTAATAAAGTATTTCCAGGACCTAACTTCAAGGATTCTCATGTAAATTCTAGAATCTGTATTTTTTTTATAAGACCTCTGTGTGATTGTGATGGGTGTCCAGGTTTGCAAAACCACCCCATAGAGAAATTCCAAGCCCTTGAAATATGTCCACCTGCCCTAGCTGGTTTTGCTCAGTGGCTAGAGCATCAGCCTGCAGACTAAATAGTCCCAGGTTTGATTCTGGTCAAGAGCACATGCCTGTGGTTGCAGGCTCAATCCCCAGTAGGGGGTGCACAGGAGGCAGCTGATTGATATTTCTCTCATCGATGTTTCTAACTCTCTATCCCTCTCCCTTCCTCTCTGAAATCACCTGGAAGGCACAAGTCCAGAGTGGAAGGAGTGACAAAGGGAAACAACGCTGATAGACCCATGGGTTGTAAATAAGATGCCAGCACCATGCTACAAAGGCATGTCTGTGGTTCCCTGCCTTTGGACATAAAAGAATTGGAGGCAAAGAAATATGGATGTGGAGAAATCTGGAGCCAGCTTGCTCCCTGCAGGCTCAAGACCAACCATCCCACATTGGCGGGGGGGGGGGGGGGTTTCTGATTGGCTCCCTGGCTCTCTGATGCCCACCCCTTGGAGCATCTACGTCTGTGCCCTGTAAGCAGGGGTATCTGTACACTGACCCGGCCTCTTTCCCCAGGCTGCTCCTTTCTGAGGCCCCCAGCCCTGGGACTGACCCTGCCTTTCCACCTGGCTCTCTAACCAGCTTCTTCAGAACCACCTTCAACTGCTCCCTCTTCCTCAACTCTTCACTCCAAATGGATCTGTTCTTTCAAATTTCCCTTCCAGATCACACACTGATGCCTTGTGTGCGCCCTTAGCCTCTGCTATTGCGCTGAACAAGGTCAAGGAGAGAAAGACCTGCAGGGGGTGTAGGGAGGTGGGCTCCCTAAGGCACTGGAAAGCAGAAGACAGAAACATCATTTAGACATGTTTGAACTCGGCCTCTGTTTTGCTGATGGCTCTGCCCTAGACCCTGCCTTGACATTCTTTTCTCTGGAGTCTCTTGAATGACCTTCCAGTGAGACTCCTTATCTGCCTCCATGTCTGCCCTCAACACGGCTTTGAGATTCCTCTGAAATCCAGCTCTAATATAATTCTCTTATTCGAAATCCTTTCATGGCTCCTGAAACTCTCAAGAGAAATATTTAAATCCTTTATTGTCCGATATCAGGCCCTTAAAGAGATGGCTGCTTCTGCCACAGACACGAAACGCCAACCAGGCCCAGCGCTCAGCAGGTCCGTAAGCACCTGTTCTCTGCTCCTCCGGGGCTTTGGCGATGCACTTCCCTCTGCTCTGAACAGCCCGCTTCAGCCCTTCCCCTTTCCTCATCCACCAGCCAATTCTTGTTTGTCGTTTTATGAGTAGGCTAGAAACCAACTTAAAAATCACCTCCTTTTCAATTTCCTAACCCTCCTCCCCACCCCATCGTAATAACCATCCCCCATTACTGCTTCTCCTCTGTTCCCCATGACACTTGAGACCAATCTCCTGTGTCCTCCCACTCAGGCTGTGAGGACCTGGAGGAGAACGCGGTTCCTACAGGAGAGAGCTGTCCGCAACTGGAGGCAGGAGGACTGGCAACAAGACCCGAAAGAAGGCTGGCGCAAATAAATCTGCTCTCCCACCACCTCCCAGCTCAGTGGGCAGGATGCCGTCCCCATGCCTACCCCCTAGACCCGTGGTCGGCAAACCGCGGCTCGCGAGCCAGATGCGGCTCTTTGGCCCCTTGAGTGTGGCTCTTCCACATATCACGTGGGGGCGCGCACGTACAGTGTGATTGAAACTTCGTGGCCCATGCGCAGAAGTCAGTATTTTGTGGAAGAGCCACACTCAAGGGGCCAAAGAGCCGCGTGTGGCTCGCGAGCCGCAGTTTGCCGACCACTGCCCTACACCACTGGGAAGATGACTCAGATGTCCACCAGAATTTCTCAAAAAGACCACCATTCACAACCCACAGATAACTCGCTGATCATTCTCTTCTCCAGCCCTCTCGCCCTAGGACTTTATCTCAACAGCTGCCTGAGAGACTGTCTCCAGTCTCTCATGGAGGTTTCTCTCCTTTGTGCCTAACTGCCTTCCTGAATCTATGTTTCCTCCTGGGAGCTCTTTACACTTTAAATATACAACCCAGCTAACCTGCTGCAGCACTGCAGGTGGAAAGAAATCAGAGAGAGAGAGAGAGAGAGAGAGAGAGTTGCTATTTGTTCCCAACATGCTTAGTCATTGGTACGGCATTTAACACAGTGGCTCTCCACCTTGGCTGTATATTAGATTCACCAAAGGAGCATCCAAAAATAATTCAGCTCAGGGCCCAGGGAAGACTTATTAGGAAAACAGAGGCAGAGTTCAAACATCTCTAAATGATATTTCTTTTTTTTTTTTTAATCCTCACCCAAGGATATTTTCCCATTAATTTTTATAAAGGGTGGAAGGGAGGGGGAGAGACAGAGAGAGAGAAACATCAGTGTGAGAGAGGTTGCCGCCACATATGCCTCACCAGGGCTGGGGATCGAGCTTTCAACTGAGGTAGGTACCAGAATCAAACCTGGGACCCTTCAGTCCACGGGCCGATGCTCTATCCACTGAGCCCAGCCGGGTGGGGGTAAATGACATTTCTGTCTTCTGCTTTCCAGCACCGTTGGGAGCCCACCTCCATTCCTGCTGGTCTTTCTATCCTTTACCTTGATCAGCCCAACTGCAGAGGCCAAGGGAGCAGACAAGTCCCCACACTGAGCATTACAGGAGAGGGAGGCTGTACATACAATAACAATTCCCTCCACGTCCAAGAGCTCACTCCTGCTTTTTGCCCTGTGATTAAGCCTCTTCTTTCTATGGGGTCCTTACATTGTTCTTCCAAGCAGAAGTCCTTGCCTCAGTTCCCTACCTGCAAGCCTCAGTATAAAGGTCTACAAACACACCTTTTAGAAACTGGGGGATGTTTTTTGATCCCACTTCCCTGTCAATAGATCATTTGCCTCCACCTCATTCTAGAACAGGGGTCCTCAAACTACGGCCCGCGGGCCACATGCAAATACAAATATTGTATTTGTTCCCGTTTCGTTTTTTTACTTCAAAATAAGATATGTGCAGTGTGCATAGGAATTTGTTCATAGTTTTTTTTTAAACTATAGTCCGGCCCTCCAACGGTCTGAGGGACAGTGAACTGGCCCCCTGTTTAAAAAGTTTGAGGACCCCTGTTCTAGAAGCTCAGTCTTTACCTAGGTGTGTTCTGCCACCTGCCAGTTCTTTACATCTGCCAGGTCTTATACCCTTAACCATCCCAGGCCTTCCTAATGCCCCCACAACTACTGCCGGAACCTCTCCCTGGTGCCTGATGCTAAATCTCTCCCCCAACCATCTTCCCTTTTCACATGGGTCTCTCTTAGCGGTATCCTGAGTTCTCCGGGCCCTGGAATTCACTGTGCTGGAGGGTGGCCCTGCACTCATGGGGGAGAGAGAGGAGGACACAGAAGCAACCCACCTTTCCCTAGTCGCGGCGGCATGGCCAAGAGCTTTTGCAATAGAACAAAGATAACATACCCTGAGCAGCCATAGAAATAGATCTTCTTTATACTCCCCTCACACCATGGAGAGAATTTCAAAGCTGATGCTATGTTACCTCCATCGTTTGAATCTTGTTAACCACCAGAGCAGTTTTACTCCATTAGAAAGACCTACTTATTGTACAGTACCCACGGAATTTCACCCAGACCAAAAAAAGGAGCTTTTAATTCCAACGTTTTAGGTATTAATTATATCCCTGGGCTGACGGGAATCCTCATGGCTTCAAAAGGAAAACACCGCTTAGTGCTCAGTGTCCGTGGGTGTGAATATAACTGTAGGCAGTCACACACACACACCCGAGAGCTGATGAGAGGCTGGGCGTCTGTGATAACTCACTGCCCTGCTCTGTAACTCAGAAGCAGCCAGTGAAATGGAGCTGGCTGGACTCCTGACAGTCCTCCCGATGAGCATGCCCCAGGCATCTTCTCATTCCGGGGCTGAATGGCGATGACTTCCTGGCAGTGGGTTTGCGCAACAGCCGCGTGGTGTACAGTTAGAACCTGGGGTCCGGCATCGCAAGTATCAGCAGCGATCCTCTGGATCTGAGCCTTGGGGTCCACACGGTCCATCTGGGGAGGTTCTTGTGAATGGGCTGGCTGAAGGTAAAGAGTCATCCCTTCGTCTGTCCCTCAGACTTCTCAGTGCTAGCACAGTGTTTGGCCGGGTCTGTGCAAAGGCCATAGGCTGTGCAAAGGTGATAGGCCGCGCCACGCGTCCCCACGAAGTTCACAAACCAGTGTACAATGTGGAGGACCAGAAGGATGATGTCAATTAAGTGATGCGGGAATAGGTAAGGGGGGAGGGGGGTGACTGATAGAAATAAGGAGAGAGAACGCATTCAGAAGATGCTTCCCCAAACAGGTGACGTGTGAGCCTACCTTGTAATAAATAGGAGTTTGGGAAAAGAGCAGTGGCCAGTGTGGACTCAAAGAATACAAGTAGTTTGGTTTGGCTTTCAGGTGAGGGGAAGCAAGAGATATGATTAGAGGTAGACAGGGTCTGTACCATCAAAGGACTTGGATGTCACACTAAGAAGTTTGATCTTTATCCAGGGAGCTATGGAGAAGGACTGTGAAATTTAAGAAGGGAGGTTGGGTACCATAGTTGGTTTCCACTTTTTGGTAAATGACTCTGGTGGTTGTATTGAGAATGGATGGGAGAGGGAGGCAAGGCTAGATGGAGGAGGACCAGCAGGATGCCGGCTCCTCAATCTTTGAAGAACTGTGATTTTGATTGAAATGCAAAACCACCACTGCTATATTAATATATCCATGGTAACAGACACCTGCAGAGAAGCAAGGAATTGAGTGGTGAATTGTTTATTTCTTCAAAATTCAGGTCTTTGTCATGCCAAGTTAATGGGAAATAAAAAAGAGTATCTTAACAGTTCACCCTGGGGAATTAATTCCTTTTTTAATAGGTTTTGAATTTTTTTTTTCCTTTTGAAGGTAGATGATCATCAAAATAAATCCATCATCTCCCCAGGAAGACTGGTTGGTCTCAATGTCTTCAGTCAGTTTTATGTAGGTGGCTACAGTGAATACACTCCAGATCTCTTGCCAAATGGAGCCGATTTTAAAAATGGCTTTCAAGGTAAGGCATGGATGATATTTATACTATACCCACTTGTTTCAAAATTTGGGAAAAGAAAAAACATTTAAAGAGTATACTTCTAGTTCCCAAACCAGCAATTTGGATTGCTTTCTGATTGGACTTGATCGAAGTTTGATTTTAAAGGAAAGCATTTATTCTTATTAATCACTTACTACCTATGTGCTAGGTATTTGGGATGTTTCAGTGGGGGAAAAAACACAAAGATTTTTATACTTGTGAGTTTACATTCTAGTTAGTCAAAAGAGGGAAGAGATAATAAACACTACATATAATAAATAAGGAAATTATATAGTGGTATGAGGTGATAAGTTCTGTGGAGCAAAAGAAAGGAAAAGTCGAATGTGAGTGATTTTTTATATAGGGTGCTTTTTAATATAGGGTAAGTAGTGTAGACCTCATGTAGTAACAGTGAAAATTAAAATTCCAGCCAACTTTGGGATGTAGTTGATATAAAAGATGAGTGACAGACTACAGCCAACTAATCCATACCACCAAGGTGTGGTCCCACTGAGGCCACCAGAAACCAAGAGGATTAAGACCCAACACCAGCCCTGGCCAGTGTGGCTCAGTTGGTTGAGCACTGGTTCAATTCCCTGTCAGGGCGCATGCCCTGGTTGCAGGCTCGCTCCCCAGTAGGGGACCTGCAGGAGGCAGCCAATCAATGATTTCGTCTGTTCAATGTTTCTCTCTCCCTTTCGCTTCCTCTCTCGCACTTTTAAATCAATAAAAACATATTTTTAAAAAAGAAAAAAGACCCAACACCATGCTTGTGCAAATAATCAGATCACCATCATCTGTTTCCTGTGTTCAAAGGGGAACATACATTCAGATCGTTCCTATAAAAGTGATTCATAGCAGTTATAAAATAAACACATGCTTTGAATTGTTATAATAATGCATTTCGTAACAATAAGCTTCTTGGTGGATCCTTAGTCCCAGAATATTTGGTCAAGGGGCTGCTCAGTATAGTGTCCTGAGCCATTCTCCCACGACCAGCCTACTCCCTATCCGAAACCAAGGAGCAGGTACCAGGATGTGATGCAGGTCCCTGTGAGACATCCGAAGCCCTCTCGGGCACTTGAGCTCTCTGCCTGCCGGCACCATCCCTTTCCCCACCTTCACCGACTTCTGCCTAAACCCTGCCGCAGGAGGCCACATACTTGAAACATATTGAAAGCAACACAGCTAATCCAACATAATACAAGGGCGGGTTTCAATACAAGTCGTTCATTGCGCCAGGGCTCTCAGAGAAATGTTTTCTTTGACTATGTAATCAGTGCTGATTCTCAGAAGGGTGTGTTAAAGAACCGTTTGGAGCAAGTTAAGGCGCTATGCTAAATATGATCGGGAGCTCAATGGTGCTTTCACAGCAGGAGACCGTCAGGAAAGGATTGTGAGGGCATAACAAATCGATGAGTTTTTAAAAACATTCAGTTGGAGGGAAAGGATGGGTAAACTTATGAATGTGTACGAAGCACACATCTTCCACTCAATGAAACAGAGACTCCGTTAGAGGGTCATCAGAACTTGCTGTCATTTAATCGCAGACACGATGCTGACATAAATACTCTGGATCCAGCATTAAGGATAAAAATGTGGGCTCGGAACCCATCTGCCTGGGTATGCACCTCAGCTCTGCCACCAACAAGCTTCGTGACCCTGGCTGGTAACCGAACGTCCCTGGGCCTCGCTGTGCCTCATCTGTAAAATGGGATACTAGCCGCACTTGTCTTGCTTGTAGTTCTGAGAGCAAGTTAATGGAAAGAGAACACAGATTACCTCCTGGCTGAGAGTGCTCCCTGTGCTAGTGATGATGGTGGTGCTGGTGGTGGAGGTGACAGAGCCGCGGCCACACACTTGCTTCTCTTCCTCTGCTGCACAGACGGTGGGTAAGAGCACAGGCTCTGCTATCAGGCTGTCTTCAGATTCGGGCCCTGCCACCCAGCAGCTGTGTTCCTCTAAGCCTTTTACTTCAACTCCCCAAACCTCCACTTTTCCTCTGTAAGATAAAATACCTACCCCATAGGGTTCTCGTGAGTTGGTCAATTAGCTAAAGTAATGTTAAGTGCTCAACCCAGAAAGCAGCACCTGATAAACGCTCAATAAATGTTAACTAATAGCAGTACTCCATCCTGTTGTCATTGGACTTGACGTTTTCAGATTTACTGGAGTCCAAAGCTTCCTGGTTTGCTTGTGTTATTTTCTTCCCTTTGTTAGGAACTTTTCTTCACAACTTGATAATGAGAACAAAGAGAGGCTTTCTTCAAAACCTGTCATTTTCTCCTTAAGTGTGTTATGAACCCGAGTTCAGCACTCAAACAGCTGGCCCTCCTGTGAGAGAAACTCGGGACAGCAGGTCTGGAAGGCTGCCAGCGCTACGGTCCTCAGTTAGGATGGGAATTTTGGGAGGGTCCTTTTGGAACTTGACACTTAATCCACAATCTTACCGAAGCTCCAGGACCTAATTTTATCATTTGACTCTTGAATTCTCCCTTCCTGTCTGCCTCTTCTCCATTATAAACCAGCATTTACTACGAACTGTAGGTTGTGGACAATCATTACCAACCTACCATAAGTACCAGATTGCAACTAAACCGTAAACCTATGCTTTCCCAAAACTGAACTCTACTGGTTCTAGAGAAGGATATAGGGTGACTTCTTTAAAATATGGACTTCTGCGCCCTACCCCAAAACTACTCAATCAAAATCTCCATAATGGGATCTAAAAATTTGCATTTCAAGTAAGCCTTCCCAGATTTGGAAATCACTACATTAACTAATCATAACAAAGCAAGTAGAGTTATGGAAGAATTTAGTAGTTAGTCTGGCCTTAGCCTAATTATTAAATTCTAACATCCCTAACACAAATAAATAAGGCCTGATTATTTTTCTTTAGAATGGGGATTAAATCACACAGAGTACAAGACTATCTGATTTAGGCTTTCCCCGTTTCTATAAACACTGCTGATAAACAACTCTAAGCCAGAAGTCCTCAGTCTAAAATACAAATCGTTACTGTTAATGTAGTCCATTTGTTTCTGTTCTGGAAATGGCTTATCATGAGTCATTATTTTCCCTATAACCTTTAACAGTGATAAAGATATTGAGGTTTTTTTACCTCTTCTCCAGATTAAATCATCTACATATGCCAAGCAAAGAGGTCATTCCTGATTACCTGTCCTAGTAAAGGGAATTCTCCCCTGCTCTCCAAAGTAGCATCTATTACCAGCTGCAGGCTCTCAGGTTGAGGGTGAGGGATGGGCTCTAGTGGGTTCCTGAGTCTCCTGAAATCATGCATGCAATTGTGTGTGCATTTTTCTAGGAGAAGGCCTATGGCTTTCATCAATGTTCAAAGATCTGTTACTTTCACTGACCGACCTATTTACTCCTGACATAGAATTAAAAATTGCTTTTGACAAGTGTGAACATGGGGAAATCTATTATCCCATCCATCTGTTATTCTAGTGTTATAGCAGCTAGTGTTCTCTGATACAGGGATTATTAAATATTTATTACTCAACTGAACAGAGTGGACATGAAATAGATTCGAATTCATTAACAACACTGTAAGGATGTTATTCCAACCTGAAAGTGCCCTACACACTGTCAGTACAGTCAGTTTCTTTAGTTCAACTTTTCTCCCTTTCTCTTTTTTAATTGCATGAGCTTTTTCAAACCAGAGTCCATAAGGGGGGAAATGAGGTTACTGCAATAATTTAAATATCATTTTACTGTCCAAAAAAAAAAAAAGAAAGCCATCACTCATTTGAAACCTAGTATATTTGACTAGTATATTTGACACATGACTCATGGCTCCAAAAATCTTTATCGTAATTACTCTGTCACCTGCAGGATAGATGTAGTGAATACCTGCTGCATGATACTGTACTATGCAGATTATATTTCATCTTCAATATTAATAGGAGTGAAGTTTTACAATATGCCTTCTACAAATGGCTTCCACTATAATTGCCTTTAAGCTGATGATATGTTGACTGACAGGAAGTATCTCTCTAAAATAAACACATGTAACTATTTGTATGTGCTAAATGTTTCTCTACATATATCACTGCCAGGTTTTTAGTCAAAACATATTTGAGCAGTTCCTCATAACAAAATTATTTCCTATCCATATAAAAGGGGAGAGGTTTTACATGAACAGCTTCAGACATTAATATATATTATAATCATTAGCCAAGGTTTTTTTTGTGCGTGATTATAAAAACTACAAAAATCTAATACTAGTACCCTACAATTTTTTGTTAAAGAGAATTTTTTTATGAATTAAATAAAGAATTTCTGAGACAGTGAGGAAGGGAGTATGGGTGGGAGCTGAAATATAAGGCCTTAACTGCCAATCATGAAAGGGGCCAGTTTATGTATGTTACCTTATTCCTCTTAACCCATGGAGTACTTATTTTTGTCCCCATTTTAAAGGTAAAAAGATTGGCACTTAGTTAGGTTTGGGTCATCTAGTCATTTTGTGAGAGAGAATGTAATTGAACCCAGACCCACCTGACTTCAATCCTCCTTCTGCTCTCTGCTGAGTACAGTTCACTAGGCAGGGGCATGCAGATCTCTGCGGTGTTAGTTGAGCTACCTGGTTATTCCATATAAAGCAGTTGGCATTCATTCATTCACTTCTTCACCCAGTATACCATATTAGTGCTTTTTTGTGTAATAGCAGTAGTTGGGAGAAGAACAAAGATTAAATCTAAGGAAGAAAATGACAGTTCTCTTACAATGAGAAAATATCGGTGCAGGCTGAGGATTGTGCTTGTCAGGGAGAACTAGGTTAAGTTAAAAAGCAAATTCTTGACCTTTCAAAACTGAACCTATTTTTTTTTCACCATAAGGAATTATTTCAGACTTGCTTCAGAAAATGTTTTGGAAATAAAATCTAATCTAGCCTATCTGTTATCATTTTCTAGACCCTATGTATGGTTGTTGTCAATATTGATTTATAGCACCTTGTAAATAAACTCTAAGTCCTGAAGGAAATGAGGAAAATTACAATACAGTTCAGTATCCCAAACAATTCTATTAATTAGCTAATCGACTGCCCTTTGTGTTATGTTTATTTAATATTGGGGTGGAAAAGACCTTTCTTTTTTCCCAGCTTTCATGATGTATAATTGACAAATAAAAGTTACGTATATTTAATGTGTATAATGTGATGGTTTGGTATACATATACATTGTGAAGAGTACCACTATCAAGTTAGTTAACACATCCATCATCCAATTAATAAAATTTAAAAAAGAATAATATATTACCTTAAAAATGAGAAAATAACTGTCTTTCTGTTTTATCTATTTCTTCCATTTTTTATATGAAGTCTTTTCCCCTTCCTTCAAGGTTGTATTTTCACTATTCAAGTTCACACCAGGAAGGACGGCCGTTTCAGAAGGCTGGGAAATCCTGAGGGCCACCCAGATGCTGGGCGCAGCGTTGGCCAGTGTGACGCTTCTCCTTGTAGCTTAATGAACTGTGGCAACGGTGGGACCTGCATGGACAGTGGAGCTACTGTTTAGTAAGTATGACGTTAGGAAGGAAGGTACGTAGTGGGTTATTAGCACTCTAGCTGGTACTTCAGTCACACAAACTAGGCACACAAACTGACCCTCTTATCTTAAATGTTTTCAGGTAGACTTGCTAGATGACTAGGGGACAGATAAAGGAAACTAGAGAGAAACCAACCCGGCATTTGCATCATCTTCTCAATTCTTTTAAATTTTTAAAAATATATTCTTATTGATTTCAGAGAGGGAGAGAGAGATAAAAACATCAATGATGAGCCCGGCTAGAGTGGCTCAGTGGTTGAGCATCGACCTATGAACCAGGGGACCATGGTTCAATTCCCAGTCAGGGCACATGCCAGAATATTAGGCTCAATCCCCACTAGGGGGCATGCAGGAGGCAACAATGGATGATTCTCTCTCATTATTGATGTTTCTATCTCTTTCCCTCTTCCTTCCTCTCTGAAATCAATACAAATATATTTTTTAAAAAAGAATGGGAAGTGTCAGTAAGAAAGTGAAGGTGAAGGTACAGGTAGAAAATTCATCCTAACTACTGATTGTCCCATATGGAACAAAGGCCTAGCTAGCTGTTTCAACATACAGCTGTTGCCGGCAAGACGATGAAACCTCGGTTCTTGTCTTCCTGAAGGAAAGATTTCAATCAAGAGACAAAGTTCAGCAAAGCAAGCAAGAATTTGTTGACCACAGCAAAAACACACTTAGGACAGTGAAACATGGAAGGGCATAGAAGAAGCAACAAGACAGCCTAGACTGGGCTGCTTTGGCTCACTGGGAAGTCAGAGAAAAGGGAGACAGGTTCAGGGGGTTCGCCCAGGACAAGCTGCCACTGCCCACTGCTCCCTTGGTTGCAAGCCTTTTGGGGTCCCTTAGAGGTTAGGGGATACGTGCCTGTGGGGGAAGAAGAGGGGGAGGAGAACAGTTCAGGATGCTCCCTTGGGGGAGAGCGCTCAGTGGGTCTTTTGTGTTGAGGGTATTTCTCTCTCTCTCTCTCTCTCTTGCAGGTGGGAATCTTAGGGGAGGTCTTAGGGGAGGATCTCAATAGAATATTCATCAGCTTTCCAGGTGTGCTTTTTCAGGGTCTCCTTCTCCACTGATTGGTCTGCCCCAGGGCAGGGGGTCATCAGTCAATGCAGCTGGTCCTGAGGCAGCCACAGCATCACTTGTCTGGCTTTGCTGCTTTTCTGGGCCTAGAGCTGAGGCCTAGATGTTATCTTTAGGGAGGAAAAGGTCAGGGGGTCTAAACCACATGAACAGCGATATGCTAGGGGAGGAAAGGTTACTCTGAGGGTGAGGTTCTTGTTTTCCCAGTTTTTCCCCTTGCTAGACACCCAGGGCTTCAGCCCTGGTGACCTTCTGCACCCGACCCATCATCCTTGCTCTGCTCATGTCTGTCTAGCTCAGTGGTTCTCAACCTTGGCTGCACATTAGAATCACCTGGGAATCTTTTTAAAATCCTGATTTCTGGGCCTCATCCTCCGGAAATTCTGTTTCTTTGTTATGGGGTGAGGCCACAACACCCATAACAAAGAAACAGAATTTCCGGAGGATGAGGCCCAGAAATCAGGATTTAAAAAAGATTCCCAGGTGATTCTAATGTGCAGCCAAGGTTGAGAACCACCGTCTTATAAAAGATTCCGGTGATTCTAATGTGCAGCCAAGGTTGAGAACCACTGGTCTAGCTGCTTATAACAGCCACAGGTGTTGATCTTGGACTACATCAAGCCACATACAGAAAGACACAACTATTTGAAGATTATTTTGATTCACATAGGAAATTTTTTTGACTTGTGATAATAAAAGTAATATCTTTCAATTGTACAGCGCTTTGTGGACAGCAAAGCAAATTTCTGCATGCACTATTTCCATTGCCCCTAATTAAAACTTTCTAAATTAGTCAGGGACCATCCTGGCCCCAGTTTAATCCATGGGAAACTAAGCCCAGTGATGATGAGTAAACAAGAGGATGTACCAGCATCTTGTAAGTAGTGCGGCCGGACCCAAAACCAAATTTCCCAGCTCCTGGGTCAGGATTCTCTCAGGATCTAATTAGCAAGAAATTAGTTTAAAAGCAGCTAGCAATGAACAGTAGCTCCTTATCAGCTGGATGTAATATATTCTTTTTTAAAATATGTTTTTATTGATTTTTAGAGAGAGGTAGAGATAGAAACATCAATGAGGGCAACATCATAGATCAGCTGCCTCCTACTGGGGACTGAGCCCACAACCGGGGCATGTGCTCTGACTGGGAATAAAACCAGTGACCTCTTGGTTCCTGGGCCAATGCTCAACCACTGAGCCACACCGGCCAGGCTCATTTATTCTTAATTTTTTTAATGTTGACATAATCTTCAATTAACATTTTCTATTTTCTCCAAATTGGAAGTACCTTGCCTCATAAATCCCCCCAGGGCAGGGGGAGGAGGCATGTGTCATAAATTCCTATTTGGGTGGAAAGCTGTATGTCACAGACTTGTATGAGAACCTCAGGTTTCAGTAATGGAACCAATACCTCTGACAAGATTTCTTACAGGATTCTACAATCTTTCTTATCAAATTATGACCACTGCCTGGGACTCCCTTGTTGACATAACAACAAAATATTTACTGTATCGATGACTCATGAAGCATTACCGCAGAATGAGAAGTAGCTCTTGTGACTATTATATAATGACATTAAAAGGATGGCTCCCTGACCTTAAAAGCAATGGTATGTAAATTAGACCTCAATAAAGCTGTTTCAAAATAAGGTTCCCACTCATGGACATTCAACTTCAGTAGCAGCATAAGTTTAAGGAGAATTATATTCATTTTGACAGTGTTTGGAATTCTGCTCTAATCTCAATAAGAATCCTGTTTTGTTTTTATTGAATTTATTCTTGTTTTTAAAGGAAAAAGATGTTCTTTGTAATATACTTTTTTACACAGTTTGTTTGGTTTTTTTAATCCTCACTCGAGTACATGTTTTCCATTGATTTTTAGAGAGAGTGGAAGGAAGAGAGACAGAGAGAAACACCGAAGAGAGACACATCGTTTGATTGCCTCCCGCATGGTCCCTGCAAACGAGGTACATGCCCTTGACCAGAATCGAACAGTAAGAGATAAACATCAATTGGTTGCTTCCCCCATGGTCCCTGAAAACGAGGTACGTACATGCCCTTGACCAGAATCGAACCCAGGACCCTTCAGTCGCAGGCTGATGCTCTATCCACTGAGCCAAACCGGCTAGGGCTGCAATATACTTTCTAATAGTGCTTCAGAAGTTTTCCTCTACCCTTGTCCTAGTCCCAGGCTCTCAACTGTGTATGGCTCTTCACCTTTATTTTGCGCCTGTGTGGGTCCCCTACTCAGAGTACCCCAGATGACCAAGGCCCATTTGCCATACGCATGCGTGCAGGCGAGGGCACAGCAGTATTGTTAGGTGCAAGGCTCCTTTGCCTACGCAGGTGCGAGGGCAATGACCATGAGTAGCAGTATACACACTGCGCAAGCGCACCCTTATGTAACCTGTTGGTGTTAACGTAGCACGAGCGTCACTAATTGGCACGAGGCCGCTGTGTTTGAGCGCGTATGTAAGTTGCCACTGAGCAGCCGGCGCAGGACGGCTTTTGGGGGGCTGCCGTGAAGGACTGCTCTGTCCGATGGCTCCTGCAGCAGCAATGCCACTTGGTCTGCAATGAAGTCTCTCCTCTATATGCCAACGACTCTCATGTCTTCATCTAATACCCGGCGTCCGAGAAGCTGTGCTCCCACAACCAGAGAAGTACTGAACTGAATTTCCAGGTAACATTATTGACAGCCCAAAGTTAAAATTCAATCTTGTCTTGAAAAAAAAATAACACATGATAATTTTTTTTTTTAATGCTCAAGAGGCAAGTCCCAACCCAGACTAAAATTCATTCTTTTCTTGAAAAAAATAACACATGATAATTTTTTTTTAATGCTCAAGAGGCAAGTCCCAACCCAGAAGCATAAATTTCAGAATCAATTTTAAAAACAAACTCTCAAAGCCACTCAAAGTGTCTTAACAGCTTTATGGTATAATTTTTTATTAAAAAATTAAAAACGGCAAATGCTCATTTTAGTTCACTTCTCACAGCAGGAGGGGGGTGGGGGGAGGCATTGTTCTGGTACCTAAGGGGAAATCTTGTGCCAAGTAAGGAGGGAGGGGGGCTTGATAAGGCTTGGATCCGGGGCTGAGCTCCGGGAAACTGCTAAAAGCCTTGCTTTCCTGCTCCAAGTGCGTCAGCAAACACAGATGCAGCTGCACTTTAATGCAGCTGCTCAGATGAGGGTGTAATAAGGCAGAGTTCATGTCAAGCCTTATGCTCCTGGGATGAGCTCTGATGCAACAGAAACAGTGAACTCTTTCTGTTGTTAGTAACCCAGGCTAAAGAAAGGGGGGAGGGCGTTTAGTTCTAACTCAGCTCTATATGCACATTTGTTTGGTACAAAGTGTTTTTAGGCAAATTTGACTTCATTTAAGTTGTACTTCGTTTCACCTTAAACTGATATCCTGGCTGTGATTGAGGGTAATAGGTGACGTGTTCCTTTAAAAAGTAAGCACAGTGTAGGAAAACCAAAAGTTCCATAAACAGATGTCAGCATGAGCAGCACAGACAGTGAGGACAATAGGAGTTCAGAGAACATGGATGTAAAATGGGAAATGCATCAGAGATTTATACCAAGTTCATAAATGAGGCTTATTTATAGCATAAACCTATCAGTGAGCACGAAATCTCACTGCTCCAGAGTTTCCTAAACATTTTTTGGCTCACAGATAAGGTCAAAGATCTTTCCAAGATTCATGCAAGCACCAGGAGGAAAGTATGTTCTCAAAGCCTTCTCTTGTTCCCATACAGACACTATAACTTACATGCCTAAAAGTGATAGTCAATTTCTTTGATTTTTGCTAAATGAGCAAAGTCATTCACACTTTAAAATAGATCAGACTGGTTTGGCTCAGTGGATAGAGCATCGGCCTGTGGACTCA